TCTAACCTGTGCTTATTTCGCAGGGGGCCAACGTAGGCAGATCCGGAGCGGACTTCCTTGCCAGCTCTGACTGTTAGCTGAACCCCAGTGCATGCAAACTTTCAGACACACAAAATGCCTCAATTACACCAACACATAACACATGTTTGTCATACTTCGGTGGATCATTGGCTTCAGGATACAGATTGTCATAGTACATTATGGAGCACAAAACTCAGCATTTCTCCATAATGAAAAATGCTAACACAGAGCAGTGATGTATTAAAACCATCTATACAGAGAAAACACCTGCAGTGTTAGACCCAATAATTTATGGCCTCATTAGAAACATCCTTTTCTCATATTTTATCTTTATTTATCCCTCCCCTGCCAAGACAGTTACCTCTTATTTCTTACCAAATTGTTAATATAATTCCCATTCTTTTGATTCAGTAACAAACAGGAGTCTCAACTCAGGACAGTAGTGGCATATGCTGTCAATAACAGGTCTGTAAAACGCCAGTGTGAAGCTTTAAACCAAATTTATTTATTTAAAAAAAAAAAAAACAAACCACAAAACAAAAAAATTGCACTCTCCAACTACAATCAACGCTACCTCGATGCAACAACAAATGCAAAAAACACTGTGAATGGGACCAGCCCAGCCCTGACATCTATAAAATGGGAGAAACTAATTTGTTCTGCCTGCGCCAGTGAGGCTACTGCACTGCACTGCACTGGGAGGAGAGCTGCAGCGCGGTTTTGCCGGGGAGACCCACGGCACCCTGCCCGGATGTGGAGACACCGGCCAGGAGAGACCCTGGGACACCGACAATACTGACACCCCCAAGGGACGAGGTCTCTCCTGGGGGAGTCACGGGCAACTCCCCACAGGAACCTGCGCTGCCTCCGGGTCGGGCTTGAGACTGAGGAGGAGAAGCAGCACTAGCAACCTAGGTCCCAACCTCAGGGCAAACTGCAGGGGACTCCGGATCCGGCCCTACATACAGTACTTTGAGAATTGCAAACACACACAACAGAAGTGACCACTGAGCAGCAGAGAGGGAGCGAGAGAGAAATACGAGCACTGGGCATGGCCAGCTGAGGCCACGAAACAGTTCAAGTGTGCAGGCACATTCTCCATGCATTGCCACGTCAGCGGGCTCTGCTCCTACCGAGTAGCTGAGAGCAAGGGAGGAGGGGGAAAAAAAAAAAAGCAAGTAAGGAAAAAAAAATTAAACATTTGTTCTCAGACCATCATATTGGTACCTATGAAACACTGAATTACACACAGCACTTCCCTACATGGGTAAATGTAAATGGCACCTGGAATTGCCGGAGCCGTGAGTGCTGGGATGACACCGGCACATAGCAGCAAAGCTCCCGTGGGTTTCAGCAAACTGCATGGCCTGCAGGGGAGCGGACCGCGGCACACGAGTGCCGGCGGCTGAGGGAGCCACGCTCCCTCCCCGCTGCGGGTTTTCTCTCAGTGCAACTCTGCAGATGCTGGCGGGCTGCTCGCCAGTTCAGATGAGAACGCGTGAAAGGAGGATGAGGTCAGCTCCTCCAAACCAGATTTGTTTGTAAAGCTACTAGATGCACTGAAATACCAACAGCTACGTGATTTTGGAAAATGTCTGCAGAATTCAGTTTTTCTATTTTAATGCAAAGGTCTCTTCTAACAATATTAAGGTTTTCTGACATAAGTTTAAGAACAACAGGACAACAGCTAAGGAGTAAAAAGCTGAGGTACACCTCCCCTCCAGGGACATAGACCAGGGCAAGAGGAAAGGTACTCCTAGGAGCTCAGAGTATCAAATGCTCTGGCTTTCACATTTCTTTTGAATTTTTACAAAAAGAATCCAGTTTCGCAAAGGTAGGTTTTGCTACAACCTAGAAGTCAGCGTTATTTTAGACGGACAGAAGTTCTCCTTCCATTCAGGACAGGATTTAAGATAAAAATCTCTTTTGAAAAGCAAAGTTACTTTATTTTAGACCTGAGAGATCAGCCTTTGCAAGTCAAAAAACATGACAGCAAAAACCAAATCAACTGTGAAATTCTGCAGGTGAGAAATAACCCAGACTGGGGCTTCTTTTCCTTAGATTAACAATAAGGGAAGGAAAAGAAACGGGGAGCTGTAAAAACATGCCCATAGCTCTTGCAATAAATACAAGCAATACTAGAGCATCAGGACTTGGGGCAGAAGCATTATGCTTCACAACTAATAACTTCAGAAGGGAAGAACAAAGGACATAACCAACAGAGACAAACCAGAAGACAGTATCATGCATGGACAATAAAGTATTTAAAGCATAGCTCAGAAGGCCTCTATCAACAAGGATGTTAACACACATTCTGTACACAATCCTGGCAACATGCTGCACAACCTTTACACTCATTACTCACAGGGGATGCTTTCTTATGAAGAGTAGTCGTTCCACCCCAAACCACCCCAGCTAGCAGTCCCAATCAACCCAAGGGCCCTGTTCTCCTCCAGCTGCCCCTCTCTCCTGCATTCCCCCTTCCCCTAAGAGTGCATGAATAGAAAATTGCAAACAGTTCACACTGCACGTTCCACTCCAAGTCCTGGATGAGGGGCCTGTTTATTCTATGAATATTGCACTTATCCACTCATTGGATTTCTTTTTTCTCAAGAATGCAGAGTATTTGGGAAGAGAAAAAAAACAGAAAACATTAGTAGGATACAACACAGGAAAATATGAATTATTAACAAGCTACCTATGAAGATCTAAAATTAAATAGTACTAGTTCTAGTCTGTTAATACTAGTAATATGAAAATAATGAATGCTTTATCAAATTCCCTTGTTTTTCATATAAGATAAAAGCAGTAACTTTCTTTTTAACTGAGGAAAGCAATGACTATATATTACAATAAAATATGATTCATTAAGATCTGAAAGTGATGAAAACAATTATATAATGCCTTCGTCAAACTTTATAACATCGTAATGGAAGGAGTCTTTGGGGTGCATATCGACAAGGGCCAAAATCATTTTCAGCTACACCAGCACAGATGTGAAATTCAATTTATGGGAGTTTAACCATGAGCCAATTGCAATCCTTCATTATTGTGTATTTGTTATTACGGCACATATTGATTCAAAAGCTTCCTGTCAGCACATCAGCTAAATATCCTGGTGTGTGCCCATCCTATCTTTTATCTTGAAGAGTTTGGCTTGCAAAAAAGACTGGCACACGTGACTACGCCCAGCTATTGCAAGGCAGAAGGGCTAAGACAATTAACAGGAATTTCCTCCAACAGGGAAGGGCAGCTAACGAAAATGCATTACTGCTGCTGTAATGAGAAAGTGTTTTGAAAGGGGAGACAAGGGAAAAATAGCAATTAAACTTTTCAGGCATTATATAAACCTCAATAACGAACTCAGAAGTGCTCATTATCATTAAAGTTGCAGTATACAGCAAAACAAATTTCACATTCTCATATTTTGTTTCATGGAATTGGATTTGGGATTTTCTGCTGGTCCAGATCTGAGACTCTTTTCGGGAAGCACAGACAGCTGGCAAGAGCAATGCGCCAGCAGCCACCTCTTCTTCCCAGAGGAGGGCTCCCTTCAGCTTCGAATTGCTTTTCCTAAGCCCTGCAGGGCTCTTATTCTTGAACCAGACTTTCAAGAGGAAATCAGACAAAAAAATTCAAACAGTACTATTGATTTCTGCATTGAGTGTTCACTGAGGTGTATGTTACTTATAAATATTGCTCTTGATCCAGTGTCAGTTCTGACAAATTTAGTAAATAAAGCTTAAGGAGACATTGATGTTTTAGAAAAGATCTAAAACCCTTTTTAGCACTACCTCATCCTCCAAGTCACCCTGCCAGGTTGCATTGCCCTGCAGTCAGCTTTTCTGATTAAGTTTAAGGCCATTCACTCGGTTGTGCAGCTAGCAGGGAACACGGCTTGCTGCTATTTGGGGTGTCACTGGAGCTGACTACGCACTAGCTGCTCACTGATTTTTTTTGGGGGGGGGGGGGGGGAATATTTTCCCGATTGTGCAGTTGAAATAATCAAAATCACTGAGAGATTATGAAAAATGTAAGAGGGGAGGGGGGAAATTTTGGGTTTTTTTTGGTCTTTATCTAGAAAGTGCCCTTGTGTTTAAAAGAACTAGGCCAAATCAAGGCTTTGCTTGGGCGCACCAGGCAACAGGCTGGTGCCCGTCCCTCCTGGCAGCGTGATGAGCCCGATGGCCAAGCACAACGCCCCTGCCAAAACGGGGCCCTTCCCCCTGCTCTGCCGGTGGGAAAGGAGCTGGACCACTGTCTGCTACGTGGCCGGCCCATGTTTTTTGGGCAAGCCTTGGTTAGGCAAATCCGAGCCATGCGCCAAGCCTGCGCCCAGTGGAGATGTGGGCTCGTGCCGGCCGTGTGCTAAAAGCCACTGGGAGCTACAGCTATCACAAGCCCTGTGAGGTGCCCGCCCAGCAAAGCCAGGACACTGGCTGCATGCAACTGTTTCCTGTAGTGCATGCTGCCCCGGCAGAGCCGCAGGCTGCTCTCCCATCCCCAGGCAGGAGCCCTGGCCTCAGCAGCTCAACGCAGAAGACTTGGGAGCTGTGCTTTTCCTTTCCCCCCCAAGAGAAATGACCTCGTGGGAATGTTTCTAAACAAAACTTGAGCATATTTTAAATAATAAGTTAATTCTTAATAAATATGTGCTTGAAGAAAGTGATAATTATATACTGCACCTTTAAATAATGCACTTGGTTCTCTGCATTGGCTTCCATTTTGGTTTCTTTTATTGTTAAAGTGCATTAATTCAAAATAATGAACCACTTCCGCATCATTATTGTTAAAATAAATCATAACAACATTAATACGAGTCACTAAGTCGCTACTATTAGTACTGCAATCTAGCAGATAACTCTATGTATTGCTCTATTTAATACTGTCCAGCAGAAGAATATAATACTTCTATTATAATCTCACAACAGCTCCAGCAGTCTTTAATGGCTGGGACCCTATTAGTACAACTTAAAACGGGGAGAAGCATGAGAGACAGGGCTGCAACGCCTCAGATAGACATCCAGAAAGATGTAGCTAACTGGATATATACATATATATCGTAAGTGAGACGTAAGGTCCAAAGCGGGCTCCGCGCATTGTGATAGGGGCTGTTGCGCACATACACCTCCTCCTGCCACCACAATTTAAACGGATCCCAACCAAGCGCCCTCCCCCCCCGCTTGAGGCTCAGAGAGCTGCTGGGACCACAGCACTGCCCGTGGCCCGTCATGCCACCTGGGTTTTGTTTAAGCTAACAAAAGGACGTTGGTTAGCTTAGCTGTAGGCAACTCTCTCTCAATGTTATCATAGCAATTAATAAAAACCCCAAACCACACAAAAAAATTAAAAAATAAAGACAAGAACAACATATAAATTGTATAATTTTTTTTTGGCAGAGAAACATCCCTGGTAACACATGATATTGTTGTGCTATTTCACTCAACCCCTTGATCCCAGCTACTTAAAGTCTTTATAACCTTTACCTTCCAAGCCAAATTGGTATGAAGCTCTGGTGGAAGAAAGGGCATGTATCATTTTGCGTAAGCCAGTAGTGAAATAGTCTGCCCCCTCCCCTTTAACACAGATACACAACAACACTGCCTAATTTTTTTTTTTGAAAGAAACCAAATATTGATCTCAAGTGATTAACAAGGCCATTACAAAAAAAAAGCAAGACTTTCTCAAGTACAGTAGGGATTTAGCCGATGATGTTTACAGTACAAGAGTTGGCTACCTCAGGAATAACTCCATACTCCAAGCCTTCACCAATGGATGCCTCTTCCATTTCCCCATCACTCTACCCTCAGTGTGCCACATTTCAAAGCATGAGTTAAGAAAGGCAAATGGAAATGGAACTAGAAGAGGCAGCTTCCTGGTTAAATGAATTTTAGACCTAATTGCTTTGATATTAAATCTGAGCCTGAAAAGCCCAGACACACAACACTCTAGTACAAGTGTACTCTCTTGGATTCAAGTGGGAACAGAAACACACGTTTGGCTCCTACTTCAGTTTTAAGTCTCTTCTGGTAAACCAAGACAAAAAAAAAATTAAAGTAAACCCAGAATGCACAGTAAAAGACAAAAACAAAACACAAAAAACAATTCCCCAAAAATATACAAATTAGGATGTGCAGACTGAGTTTGATGGCTTTTCTCCTCCCTCATCGTAAACACTGATGCTGCAGAAGGTTACGGCTATTTCTAATACTTTCGTGGGCCCTGCCAGCAGTCAGCAAGCACGCTTGGATTCGGACCAGAAGTGACACACTTGACAGCTTTGTCTTCAGTGTCTTAAGGGAGTTTTGTACATTTTGATATTATGATCGCTTTGAGAAACCCAACTCTGGGAAGAGACTCAACCAGGATCTCCTGGCAGCAGTCAGGCACAGAACTAAATACAGAGCCTATAAAGTAATCAATGTGCTTAAGCATGGGGTTTGTTTTGTATAAGCACCAGTAGGCATCGCTGCCCTAGAACACCTGAAATCCCAACTCCGAGAACTAGACAGAGAACAAAAGGAAACAAAAAAGAGCCCCCAACCAACACCACCTGATTGCCATTTCCAGGGATTTAGCAGTAACAACAAAGCACAGCCGAAGTCAGAGACCAAATCTCTCCACAATGAAAAGGCTCTAGCTCCAGACCAACCAACTGTTGAGAAGAGGAAAGAAGTGAGCTTCTCCAAAGGGTTAGAGTCCCTCTGTTTCAGAGCGCAATTCCCACTTGCTTCTCACTGTTAGTAAGTTGTGGAAATACATCCAAAACTCTTGGGTATTCCATGCATGGACAAGAATGAGGAGAAAGGGAGCCAAGACTGTAAAACAGAGTTTGGCACTAAACTCCCCAAGCAGATGCATCTGTATTTCTCTCACAAAAGGCACGCATTTGGTTTCCTATCAATAACGGGAAAGATGGGATGTCATACCCTGTTACACGTACACGACTATTAACAACTTCACAAAAAGGCATTTGACTATGCTGTATCTTCCTCATAGTTGCTTACGACACCTCAACCCCACAAACCTCTCCAGAACACGGCAGATTTGTCCGCAACATAGACAGACTCCTTTGTCCCTCTGTACAAACTCGGGCACAGGGAAACGTCTTTTTGCGTAGCAATTGTTTTTTCCACATGTACACAGCAGGAACAGTATAAATTAGGGAGGTTAGAGACATTGCAGTATTAGTTCTTTTTCTCCAAATAATTTGAGGGCACCCAGCCTTTAAATGGCTTCACACCATTCATGATCTGGCAGTACCACCACCCATTTGGGTTCCTTTCCAGGACCTCCATGCAGACACCTTCCTGAAACCCTGCAGTCTCCTCATCCCCTTCATAGTCTGCAATGGAAACATAGATGTCTTTGAGATTGTTGTGGATGAACTGGGATTTTTCAATGGGTTTTGGCCTGACAGTGGACACGGGGATCCCATTCCTCTGGCTGGGGAGGTTGGAGGTGGTCTCTGAGCCCTCTGTGCCTGACCTCTCAGCCTGCTTTCCCTTGGTGTCACCTGGCTGCAATCGTGCGTTACTGAAGGAGGAATTCCGACGGACGGTCCTCAGATGATCTGTAGACGTTAACGACTCATTTCTGCGCAAGGAACACGATAGGTTGTTTTCCTTTGGTGGTGGAGACACAAACACTGACTGCGGCCGGACGGCAAGCTGCCTCACACCATTCCTCATTTTGACTGGCCCTGACGTTTTTGAAAAACCGCCAGGAGGTTTGCTTGGAATGGGCGGTGTTGCACGTTTGCTTTGGTTGATGGTGTTCAAAGCCTGAACTCTCTTCTCTATCTTCTCTAAACTGTTTGACTTGTTTTCATTTTTCCTGTTCTTGGAAAGTGAGGCATCAGTCTCTGTTGCTGCAGTTTCTCGCTGGTTATCAGGAAGAGCCAAATAATGAGAAGGAGCCCAGCCTTCCATGTCTCCATATTTCAGGTACCACCACCCACTGGCTTGCTTTTCCAGCACTTCCACTTCTACTCCTGCTGGGAAGCAAATTTCAGAATCCTGTACCTTTTGGTATGAGTCAGTGGTCACATAGAAACATCTGGAGTCATTTTCTTGCTCAGTTTTGGCCTGATGGCTAGAGCAGAAAATGCCACGGGAAGGAGCTGTAATAAGATCAGCTGAGCTCCTTCTAACAGGATCTTCTTGGTTCTCAGAAGCTGTGTATGGGGGGCTCTCAGACTCTTCACTTCTTGAGCCTTTAAGTCCACCTCTGAGTTGCCCAGTTGGCCTCAGCTGACGCCGTAAAGTGCTGATATCCATTTTTTCCTGACTCTGAGACTCTGCCTTGTTCAAGAAGGGTTTGGGCCTAACAATTGGCTTTGCTCTAATGGAAGGGCTCTGCCCGGGCTCTTTCTTCATACCTGTTCTTGGCATGCTACGTAAGCCAACGTCTGAAGCTGACCTTGGTTTCGTCTCCTCGCTCCTGGAGTAGTGACATTTTCCAAGATCGGGCTGGATGTTTTTGTCAGTCTTGGGCTTCACGAGTGATGTTTTAGGAGAGCTGGAACACGGAGAGTTCCTTCGGAGCAAGGAGAGAGAGGAGCTTTTCTGAGAATCAGAGTCTCCACTAGATTCCTTGTTGGACAAAGCATCTTCCGCATAACGCCTAAATCCCTCATTCTCATAAATGGTCTCTTCCTCGTGAGCAACGTCCTCTGAAGACTCTCCTACTTTGAACTTTGTTTTCTGAAGTGATGACACAGGAGAAGGCTTGAGTGGCTGAAACAATCGTTTTTCAGGAGCGCTCTCTTCACGATGGCTTTCATTCACTTCACACTCTGAGTCAAAGCCAAAGGCAGGCACGTCATACTCGGGTTCTTCGTATTTGAGCTTGTGGGGAGAATCCTGGGCTTCCCCTGAAGAAACAGTTCCAGGAGTTGTTCCTTCTTCAGAGTCTTTTGGTTTACTGGGAGGTGCTGGGGGAGGAACTTTTGGACGGGTTAAAGTACTGGTTCTTCTGTTTAAGTTTGGCTTCTTCCTCTTGTCAATGTAAGATGCTGGAGCCCATCCTTCCTTCTCTCCAATCTGCACGTACCACCAGCCACCAGAATTCTTTTCTATAACCTACGAGATGACAAGGAACACGTTAGGCAAAATCTTAACTAATTGCTTTTCACTCCTCCTTTCTCAGTCTGGTCCTCTGCAATAGCCAAGCATTATTATTTTCCCAGTTGCGTTGTCACGGCTCACCTCTGCCTTTTGTCCTCCACGAAAGCTTATGCCATCAGAGATACAAGACTGGAACTCTGCAATAGTGTAGTATTCCACTTCCACGGAGGGCGGCTCTGGTGGTTTGGGCAACTGAAAACCCTAGAGCAAAAGCAGTAGTTTTGTTCAATTAAACCACAGAAACAGTGAGCTGAATAGCATTAGTATGAAGATGTATTTGCTTTCTCAGATATGCTATTCACTAAAGCTCTTCCTTCTTCCTATGCTACTTCCCAACAATAATGTCCCGATTCTCTAGAGTGGAAGCGGATGCACAGAGATGGTCCACAAGAGAGAAGGCCTTTCAAACTACTCTGTTCATAATGCCTTCACTAGCTATTAAAACTGATAATCTTTACCTGAACAGTAAAACTTTTACTGATAGGCCATAAAGCATGCATTGCCATATCAGCCACAGTAACAATAGTCCACCTAGTCTGATAATTTGTACAGAAAGACCCAGCTCTGGATGGCTTGTTACAACTACAGGAAATGGCATTGTACCAGGCCCATGACAGATTTTGCCTATTCCCAGACATAGCATGTTAACATGTAATGCTAATGAATTATTGCTTGTCATTTGCTCCTGCACTTTAAATAACCTGAGTTCTTTAGTGATATGACATAATGGGCATCTTCTGTAGCAAGAAACATAGGGGATATCGGAGAACCCTGTAGCACTTTTCAGCTGAAGTGAAAGTAGAAAGCGGACGGCTTTAGGGTGAACCAGAACCTCTGCTCAGCCCCAATACCTGAACGACGGGATAGCCTACATTTGAATTGCAGAGAGGCTCCACGAGAAACAGGACATTGCCACTTAAAACCATTCCGGCAGCATACCAAACTGCTCTAAAAGCTGGGTGCCTTTACATTAAGCCTTTATATTTATGCATTTTAGAATTTATTACAATTATTGTTAAAGTGATAACCGAGATAAGGCTCCCTTCAAAAATTTCAACATCCAAAGCTTTTCAGATTATCACACTGCTTGTCTACAGAATGACTAGAGGATAGTGAAGCTTCACAGCTTCTGAACTTCACTGCTCAGTCCTAGCACAAGAGGTGTAGCACGTCAGGATCTCGTGAATACAGGTCAGACCTGCAGACAGACAGACACAGGACAGCAAAAGACAAGATGTTCCTAAAGCCATTAATGAGAGGAAGGAAAAGGAAACACTGTCCTTTATTCACCTACTCTCTGGTTTCTGAGTTATCCTCACTGTAACTAACAAGCTGTGTTTCATCACGCACAGCATGTGGCATTTTGCAGAGAATGCATCACTCCACCTTAGGAACCATGTCCAACAATGTTTTAATTAGATGTTTCAGCACTGTAAATGCTGAAATACAGTAGAAGATGCAGTATAATGAAGTGCCTTCAGGTAATAGAATGGTTTGGATTAAGTGAAGATAACTGGAAACAGCAGACACGTTTAGGGTTTCACATGTATTATCACTGTCATTTTCAGCATGGAATTAAGTGTAGTAGCCTTGTCAAAACAGTCTAACTGAAAATAATGCAAAGTGAAATAGGAAGAAAACATTAACAAACTGGATGAACAACACGCTAAGAGACATCTCAGATGACACACAGACAGAAGAACAAGTCACACACTGCTTATAAAGGGCACAAAGTCAAGCACTATGGCCCAGTCATAAACAAGTTATTAGTGTGACTTTTGTGCAGCTAGATTACTGAGTAGCCCCCATGTGAAGACGACAGTCCTAGTCTCAGAAGTGGGTCCAAACTTCCAGAATTCCAACTTTGAGGATAAACGATCACAGGAGATCTCATTTCTGTAGCATGCATCCTCCCATAAGATCCCAAGTCACCGCAAATATACACCAGAGCAAAGTGCAGCCACCTCAAAGATGGGAGTAACGGAAGGAGGAGAGACATTCCCAGTTACTGAAGACATGCGATCTACCACTGTAAGAAGATACTGTCTTGGCCAAAAGACATCCAGAAGAACTTTGACCCTTTTGACTCATCCAAGTGTGCTTTAATGCTCATGCACAGCACACAATAGCCTTAGGATGTTCTCCCTTCTTAAAACTTAATTTTTTCTGCTATGAAAAGTAATTAATTTTTATGCCACCATCTCTTCATATGGCAGAGGGATAGGCATGAAGCAGCTAGATGACATCAGTTCAACAGTCCCACACCCTCACTTGCAAAGCCTTCTTATAAACTAAATCCAAGCACCTACTTAACGGACCATATGAACTTCACCCCCTCAAAATACTTACTTCAGTAGTACTGAAAGCTATAAGTGACTTATTTCCAGATTCAAGCATAACAAAGCATCAAGACTTTTTAACCTGGGAGAAGGCAGAAATTTAAGGACAGCTCAACATTTGCTTAGTTGGGGCACCATCTTAAAAAACAGAAATCCCTCAACTAACACTAGGATGTTCAGAAGTCTGCTCAATACGTAAATAATAAAATGAACAGCCATGCAAACAAAGCACCTCTCGGGCACTCTCCCTCTTGTGCACACCAGCACACCTACCCCGATGCACCTATACACCATAAAATAATACAAACCAGACTGGATTCTCTTCGTGGGGGAGGTCTTGTTCTTAGATTTGGAGAACCTGAGTGGGAAAGGAAGAAGAGAAAGTTTATTTAACTTTGTAAGTACTGCTAAACACATTGAAGAGCTCCCTACTGTGTTATACAGCTTGAGAGTATTAGAAATCAGTATTCGCAATATTTGAGGCATCTCTCTGAAACAATATAGGAAAATATGAGGGAATGTTAGACAAAGATAAATTTACTATTCACCTCAGCACAGCGAGCAAGTTTAAGAGGAAATCACTGCCAGAAAGTAGTAGATTATGTTTTCTGCTGGAACTGACCAGCTGCATTGGAGACTGGCCAGCAAGGAATTGGCTTAGTGTCTAGTTTTCCCCCCAGCAGTAAAAATAATCCACTGAATTAATAACACTCATACCATCTTCTATTATAGTATCTTGCCGTTCCTTCCACAGACTAGAGTTAAAATCTGGATTTTGCAGATGAAGTAGTAAAAACACACATGACAGCAACTTGCCCAGGAAAGCAGCAAACAAAGGTAAGAGAAAAGGCCTAGGCTGTCTGCTTGACTCAAACACACCATCACCTCACCTGCATTATTGAGGTGGGGGCAGGGGGACACATTTCAGAGTGTTCAAAAAGATGCACTACTCTGGAAAAAACATTAAATAACTGCATACCAGCTAAGATATACAAGCAGCCCTTGTACAAAGCAAACAAACTCTACCGCTGCTAGTGAACGACCCATGTCCTGGGGTTCCTGCAGATCCACAGGCAAGCGCAAAGATCTGCTTGTGCAGACTTAGCTGCAAGACCAGGATACGCAGGGCCTTAAATGACAGACAATACCACCTACAAAAGGCAGAAAAAAGAAAATACTGCAAACCAATGGAAATCCAAACTTTTTTACTGCCTTACTTATTTGAGCTCTTTGTGGTGCTATTCTTGCTATGGCAGGGGAACCCTGGGCCAGTTTGGATGCCTGCTTGTCTGGGGTCATCATTGCGTTGCCGTTAGAGTCACTGCACAAGATGGGCAAACTGATTTCCTTCTTGGTGATGTGGGATTCGGAGGTCTCGTTTTCTGCTTGGGTTTCCTTGTCGGTCGATGATTTCTTGTTCAGCAGGTTACTGATCTCCATGATGTTTCCTATGATTTCCACTGGCCCAGTTAAGTTCTTTTTCCTAGATGGAAGATCATCCTTAGCCTTCTTCAGGTATGAAGCTGGGGCCCAGCCTTCTTTGCCTAGATACCTGCAAATAAAAAAGGAAATATTGTCAAACCCAGCCATGTTATGCATTCCAGGTGTGATTACTAAGGCAAAAGGGATGGAAGATAATATAAAACTAAACCCGCAGTTCTCAGATAAGCTATTGTGGTCTCGACTCATCTGCTACCTATTGATTAGACACCTCAAAGTCAGCTCAGCTAACAGTGAACTGTGAACTGCTGTAAAAAGAGAGGCACTACTTCTCACCATAAGGAAGGAGTCTCTCTGGATAAGAAATACAGCTACTCACCAGGCAGAGTTTCACCAGTTTGTTTTATGCCACATTTATATAGTTTTGGACAGACTCAGTGCTTCCTCATACAGCAAAAAAGCAAACCAATGAGTAAAGGATTTTAACCCTTCCTAGTGACAACTAATAGTGGAAAAGGGCTAAAGGGTGAAATTTATCCCAGCAGAGAGGCCCCACATCTGCAGCATGTAGGGCTTTGTGCAAGCCTCCCACCCGCAACTGTAACACACATCGCCCCTCCTCCCAGAACTGCCAGCCCTGTATGATTAGCCTAAGGACTTAACTCAGGACTAAACAAAACAGACAAACAAAAAGACCCCCCAAAAAACAAAACAAACCAAAAAACATATTGTTGCAGCTTACCCTGTCAGTGTAAGGTCAAGAAACTATTTGACTAAAGAAAAATAGCTTTGATGGAGATTGATTTTCCTGAACTAGCTAGGGGCCGTTTGAAGAAATAAACTGGGAAATCTGAACAGATACCTGAATCCAGTAAGCGTTCCCAGAGCACAAGACTGACTGCGCTTACTATGCTTCAAACTGAAGTCATTTTTTCACTCCTGGGCTTTTGGGATGATGATTTTTCTAACTCCTGCCATTCCTAACACCTCAGCAGGGATTTCAGATTACAATCAGACTCCAGGGAAGACCACATGGATGAACTCTGCTTTTCCTAAAGAAACCCTAACTTGCTACAGAGCGAGTCACTGAAACCCTTCTCCCTTTAATCTCTTAAGATACCCAAGGCAGGCGGCGCTTGAATTGTAAGTGGGAAAGCAGGCACCATTAAATTTCTGGTGCTCAGGAAATCTGCAGGAAATACAAAGGTTAAAACAGGAGGATTCTAAGGCTCTTTAATGAAAAGAGGGACTCATTAGACAGCAGAGGAAGGAGCTGGGAGTGTGTGGTGGGGGGGAAGTGTCAGCAAATCATTCTTTGATTTACTATCAGATGAGCAACTTTGTCATGCAACCACTTAGATTAGCTGTGAGATTTCTTCTGCAGGGCACATCCTGGGCTCGTTCACCACGTCAAAACCCTAAACTTCATTAGGGTCTTGCTGCACAAGAGCAGGTACTTGCAGCAAACAGCACAAGGCCTTCTATACCCAGAATTTGCCTTTCCCTCCCCACTCGTCTACATCAATAAGGGCAATAAACACAGGTGCTGCTTCTCCCTGCATACCTGTCCTGCCATATATGAAGGCAAGCGTATGGGATCTCCCACGTTCAGAGAGTTTAGTGTCAAGTCTTCCCAAGAAGCCTTTGGCCAAAGGAAATCATCCAAAAAGCTTGAAGCACGGAGACTACCAACAACGAAAAAAAGTAGCAAAATGGAAATGACTTGATCTGGCTTCTAATAGATCCAAATTGCATCAAGACACAGCATCATGGCTGGATGCTTTATATCTATGCAATCCTGTCCCCTTCGAGGCTCTGCTTCCTGAGCCAACCTATGCTGGAAATCCCGATGTAATGCTCTCAGAGAAAATAACCCAGAGAGGGAATGTACGTGTTTTGTGCTTGAACTGACTATGGTAAGATGCAAGAGTACCAAGCACTGCACATCAATTCCTACCACCCTCAATACATGTCATGTCCTCCACTGTGGTTATCTTAGTGCCATTTTCGAGCAGTGACTCCATCCCCTTTTGCACTACTTGTGATGCAAAAGGACCGTGTAACTTTGAAGGAACCTTCTAACTTTACCTGATCTGGAGATGTCAGGCTTGTGGTCTGCCAAGAAAAGAAAGCCACATTGGCCAAGGCACTGAGCGCTCCAGTTCCAGAGGTTACTTTCAACAGAGCGTGATTGTGCAAAATCAGCAAGAAAAAACATTTTCCCTTCACCTCAGTTTGTGGGAGACTTAATATGTTTAAGATCAGAAAGGCAGCAAGAGACAGATTCTGTACTGGCTTGTTAGTTCTCCTGCCAACTATATGCATTTGGATCAACCCAGGTAATCCTGCTGCTTCAGATACCTCTATTCTCACATTGTTTCCCCAATGAATAATAGCAGCTGGGCAGTTAATAACTCCGGGCAACATACCCTCAGTAGAGGGGCAGTTGCTGGTTATTTCTTTGTGAAAGCTAGTAAATTCAACTTGAAGTTAATGCCGAGCACTAGCTGCCAGATGCAACCCCACAAATAAAAGCTACTTATATAAGCCAAATAGGCTTACTCGTTTTACTCCTTGCACTCAGCAATCCCAAAGCCCTTTGCAAACATCACCTTAGAAGACTCTTTCATCTCCCCATTTTATAGGTGGAAGAAGTAACCAAGAAATCTTCAAGATATCTTGTACCAGAATTAATCTTCATTTCATGTCTGAGAATTGAACCATAAGTATCCTTCCTTCATTTACATTCACAACCTAAGCAGATGCTGCAAACTTTACCCCAGATTCCTTCTCATTCCAGTTAACACCACCCCAGCTGCACTTCATTCACATGGGCTCAGGCTCATAACAAATCACAAAATGAAGCAGCAGATAAATAAAAAGCTCAATTAGCACACTGCTCCTTCTCTTGCCCGCAATCCTGATCAGGCACCATGAGATTACCTCCACTAACAGTAACTGATACAAAGGAAGATCTAAATAACGAACAGCCATGGCAGCTGGTAAACTGCACTGTGGTTCATACTGGGAAGCGCACAGATCCACTAACGCAACAGAGTGGTAACAAGGATCTCAGAACAGAGCCCTCCATGCACTTCCCTGAAGTCCACATGCTTTTAAAAAAAATCCTAATGTGCATAGGGTAAAATAAAGGAGGACACCAATATTAACTGTAGCTTCCACTACAATGGAATTGGAGTATTACAAAATTGAGTGCAATGATTTGGCTCCACTGTGATTCCAAAACCCTCCCTGTTAATATTACATGAAGGAAAAAATGGATTCAAACCATAGGAATGTTTAAAAAAAAAGTCAGAAGTGCCTCTGTGAGTCTGAGCATGAGAGTCACATCTGCTTTCCAGCTCCAGAGCACTGGAATTACTCCAGAGGGAAGCAAATGGGGAGGGAAGGGGGGGGTTGGAGAGGGGAGGAAAAGAAAAAAGGGGGAAAAAAAGAAAAAGGACAGGAAATGAGGATCAGCACATGGCCAGGAATTTGGGGAAATTACATATTTAAGGTGGAACAAGCTAATGCCTTTAAGGTGGATTCCATCTGTAAGCAGCTGGATTTGTTTCGATTTCTAGACCTTGATGTGGGTGCTCAGCCTCTGTTATCCAGCACAACAGACAACACGGCAGCAGGATTCAACTGCAGCCTTTTCTTGCTCCCTCTCCCCTTGCTCTCACCGCAGGGGACAAGGTTGCTCCTTTTAAGACACTGAATACCCATGGACATACTGCTGAGTAAGAGAAATCATTTTCCGAGCAGTACCTGACAGCACTCATAGCAGTTTAAGCCTAATAAGCTATTCAAGAAGTTTGAGATCAACAATCTGGGCTGCGAAGGACCAGCTTCTTGGGGATGGGTCACCACACCATTTTCAGAGGTATTACCCACAAAAAAAAGTTAGTTCTACAAGCAGATTAATCCTCTAGCAAGACTGCAGAGCACTGCCCCACAGCAGCAGAGGTTTTTCCTGCACATGGCCGACGGCCAATACCCAAAGCGCTCAGGACACACGCACTCCGTGAGGTCTGACCCACCTCGCAGCAAGAAGAGGAGCTGCTCAAATCAAAACACCTCCTACAGAGCGGCCAAGGGCACACTGCACTCCTGTCTCCCTCTCTAACTGCCACCGGGAGCCTGCAGCATCCACACTGATGCTATAAAACCTCACACGCACGCACTTGCGCTTCTATTTTTAGAAAAATGAGCACTTTGGGTTGGCCCAAAAGAATGTGCACAGAAAAAAGGAAAAAAAAAAAATCTGCTTATGGTAGAGC